CGAGCTGCCCGGTGAGGAAGACGTGGAGCCGGCGGAGGAAGCTGAGGTGGTGAATGGCTCTGGGGAGCTGGGTGGTCCCGGTAGGAGCCCCGGGCACGGCGCCTACCTACAGAGCTTGGAGCGGAGCAGCCGACACTGGGTGCTGTCATCAGTGAAGGGCCCGGGGCTGGATGAGCCGGGTGGCGGAGCCGAGGCAGATGCCGGCGCTGCCGGAAGCGAGGGCGAGATCGGTGGTCCCGGTAGGAGCCCCGGGCACGGCGCCTACCTACAGAGCTTGGAGCGGAGCAGCCGACACTGGGTGCTGTCATCAGTGAAGGGACCAGGGCTGGATGAGCCGGGTGGCGGAGCCGAGGCAGATGCCGGCGCTGCCGGAAGCGAGGGCGAGATCTGGTACAACCCCATCCCCGAAGATGAGGACCCCCAGCCTAGGAGCTCCTGGAAGACGTGGAGCGGAGGGAGCCGCGATGCCGAGAGGAGCCGTGGTGGGGAGTCACCCCCGAAGTCGGGAAGGGAAGACCCGCCCCGGGGCGGTTTGGGGACAGCGGAGAGCTCCGGACCCCGCAGCGGCATGGCCCCGGTGCTGCCCACGGCTGGCCGAGAGGAGCCAGGAGCCAGCAGGACCCAGGCTTGCGGTGAGGGGCGGCATGCGGCTACGGGTCGGGGAGAGGTGGGACAGCGCTGGTCCCCAGTCCCCCACAGCTCTTGTCCTCCTGTCACCGCTCCAGGAGGTCCCCTGGACCCCACGGTCCTGTCTCCATCCGCAGCACCCTGTGGTCTTTGTCCTTTCGCTGTCCGCCGTGAGGTTTCCTGGACCCTGTGGTCCCCAAACCTGATGGTCCCTGTCCCCTGTGTCCCCTGGACCCCATGGTCCCTGTCCCCTAGGACAGGATCATCCCGATCTCGTGGTCCCCATCCCTTCCCTGTCCCCAGGCCAGTGGTTCCTGTCCCTTCCCAGTCTCCCTGGACAGTGGCCTTCGAAGCTCACAGTCCCCGTCCCCAAGGATGTCTCCTGGACCCCACAGTCCCCATCCCTTCCTCATCCCTTCCCCGTCCCCCAGGAGAGTGTCCCCCAGACCCTGCAGTCCCCATCCCCTCTCCGTCCCCGAGGACAGTGTCCCCAGGACCCCACAGTCCCCGTCCCTTCCCCTTCTCCCAGGACATCGTCCCCCAGACCCCACACTCCCCATCCCCTGCCCGTCCCCCAGGACAGTGTCCCCCAGACCCTATAGTCCCCGTCCCCTCCCTGTCCCCCAGAACAGCGTCCCCCAGACCCCACCGCTGCCACGCCATCCCACAGGACCCTCCCTCCACCCCACAGCAGTTTCCAGGGAGCAGCCCCTGTCCCACCCAGGCTTCCCAGTAACCCCCCCCAGGCACCCGCTCACCCCCTTTTTCCCCCCTGCAGGGAAGATGCCGATCCCATGTGTGAGCTCGGGGACGGGGCTGACCACCCCCTCGCCCCCCACCAGCCCCAAGAAGGGCCGTTCGCTCAACAAGGTGAAGTCCCCAGGTACCGTTCGTCGCCTCTCCATGAAGATGAAGAAGCTGCCGGAGCTACGGAGGAAGCTGAGCCTACGCAACCCCCGGCCCCGGGGCCAAGAGGGTGGCACCTCGCCCTCCGAAACCCGCAAAGAATCCAGCAACGTCATCAGCCGCTACCACCTAGACAGCAGCGTGGCTTCACAGCCGGGGCTGCCGCGAGCCAAAGCGGCCGGCAAAGGCGGCTACTTGAGCGACGGCGACTCCCCGGAGCTGCCGGCTAAAGCCGGGGCGCGTGCCGAACCGGAGGATGGGGAAAACGGGCTGGACGTGGGCGCTTTCCGCCCCTACAGCTGCGGGGAGACGCCGCCGCGGTGCGGGCAGCACATCTCGGGGCTGGTGAGCGTTCACCTCCACGGCGTGCGGGACCTGAAGCCGCCGCGGGCCGAAGCCCGGGAGGTTTTCTGCGTGTTGCAGGTGGACGCGGCCAACCGGGCTCGCACGGCTTTGCTGCCCTGCAAGACAGCGTTCCTTGGCCTCAACCATACCTTCAACCTGGAGCTGGAGGGTGCCCGGCACCTCAAGGTGATCGTCTTCTCCTGGGATCCCACCTCCTGCCGCAACCGTCTCTGCTGCCACGGCACCGTGGTCCTGCCCCACATCTTCAGAGGTACGGCCGGGTGGTGGGGTCGGTTTGGGGTTTGGCAACTTGGCACCTCATTGACGGCACCGCTCGGCTTCACAGGTTGCCGGGCCCAGCAGCTGGCGGTGCGGCTGCAACCGCGAGGCGTCCTCTACTCCAAATTCACCTTGGTGGAGCAATGGGACAGTCCCGGTGAGCGGGAACCCCGTGTCTTTGGCGTGGAGCTGGGTCAGCTGGTGGAGAGGGAGAAGACGGCCACCAAGGTGCCCCTGCTCATCCAGAAATGCGTGGCCGAGATAGAGAAACGAGGGCTGAAGGTGAGCGGGGACTTACGGTGACGGCTACGGGGGCGGTTGGTGGATGAACACCCCCCCCAAACCACGGTGATGGTGTCCCTGTTGGCAGGTGGTGGGGTTGTACCGGCTCTGCGGCTCAGCCGCCGTCAAGAAGGAGCTTCGCGACGCCTTTGAGAGGGACAGCGCAGCCGTGACGCTCTCGGAGCAGCTCTACCCCGACATCAACGTCATCACCGGTGGGTGCTCGTCCCGGGGGGGGAGTGCCCCCGCAGTTCCCTGTGCATCCCATGGCGCCACGCTGATGTCCCCACCGCGTCCTCTCGCCTGCAGGGATCCTCAAGGATTACCTGCGGGAGCTGCCCACGCCGCTTATCACTCCCACGCTCTACCACGTCGTACTGGAGGCCATGGCTAAACGACCCCCCCGGGCACCCCCAGGAGAGCGGGACGCTGTCACCCTGCTTGATTGCCTGCCCGACGTCGAGAAGGTGGGTGCCCAGCACCGAAAAGGGCGTACCCAGCCGCGGCAAGGGATTGGGGGGGGCGATCCCATTGCCACTCAGCCCCAGGGTCTCCCCCATCCTGAGTCACCGCTGCGGACGGTCCTTATTTATCGACCTGTGGCACATGCAACGGGGCACGGCTCGGTGTCACCTCTCTCCTCAGGACCCCCCCCAAAAGGTTTTTTTTTTTGGGGGGGGGGGGTGTTTCACATCCCCCCAGTATCTAAGCATTTATTTCCACCTCCGCATTCACTGTGTGACTCGACCCCGGTGACATCAGGGACTGTCTGCAGCCAAATCCCCTTGGGGCGATTCCCCTCCGCTCTGTTTCGGGGGGTAGTGTGTGTGGTGTGGGATAACGGGGTGGCATTAGAGGACGTCCCCCACTGAGGTCACCTCGTCCCCCAGGCCACGCTGACGCGGCTCCTGGACCACCTCAGCCTGGTGGCCTCCTTCCACGACTTCAACCGCATGAACTCGCAGAACATCGCCGTCTGCTTCGGACCCGTCCTGCTCACCCAGAACCAGGAGCTCCGGCGTTCCGGCACCGGTACCGGCACCGGCAACCGCAGTTACGCCCACTGCGAGGACATCGCCAGCGCCGTTGACTTCAAGAGGCACATCGAGGTGCTGCACTACCTGCTGCAGGCCTGGCCGGGTGAGTGGGGTGGGGAAAACGTGCACACAAAC